TTTATATAGACCATAAGATTTTAAAGCATATATTCACTCATAAGAATCTCAACATGCGTTAGAGAAGTTGGATAGAACTCCTCAAGGATTATGATTGTAAGATCTTATATCACCTAGGTAAGGGTAATGTGGTAGCCGACGCTCTTAGCAGGATAACTGTGGGTAGGTTAGCTCACATGATGATTTCTTAGTGTAGGGTGATAAATGCTACGCAGTAGATACAGCTCTAAGATTTAAAAATGGCCACATGTCTGGCCCACGTAGCAATCCAACCCAAATTAATTCAGAGAATAAAGGAGGTTCAATTGACCAACCCGCTCTAGCAGTTCTCCAAAAAAATACATAACAGGGTTTAAACTCATAATTTTGAGTCTCTGTCGATGGGTTGTTCAGGTTTCAAGATAGGTTGTGTTCCAAATGATAGTAAACTGAAAAATGATACATGACAGAGGCTCACAGTTCAAAGTTCACCATGCATCTGCGAAGTACTAAGATGTATCAAAATATGCGACCCTGATTCTGATAGAGCAAGATGAAAAGAAAAATTATTGATTTCGTCTCCAAGTGCCTTGTATACTAATAGGTCAAGAGAGAGTATCAACACTTAGTTGGGCTACTTCAGCTATTGTCAATCCCAGTATGGAAATAAGAACATATCACTGTGGACTTTATAATAGGGTTGCCTAGGGAATGCTCAAGACATGATGCGATCTAAGTAATTATTGACCGACTCACTAAGTTCTCTCATTTCTTGGCCATCAGAATGTTTGAACCCTTGGACAAACTAGCTAGAATCTATATTCAGGAGATAGTCAGGCTATATGGAGTTCTGGTGACAGTGGTATTAAACAGGGACCCCAGATTCACCTCTCAATTTTAGATAAGATTTCAACAAGTAATGGGGACAAAGTTATCTCTTAGCACAATATTCCACCCTTAGATATATGGACAATCAGAGCGAATAATTCGCACATTGAAGGATATACTCAAGGCTTATGTTCTAGATTTCGGGGGGCACTAGGATAACTATGTACCTTTGGTAGAGTTCGCCTACAACAACAGTTATCAAATAAGTATTGGCATGACTCCATATGAGGCATTGTATAGCTGACTCTATAAATCACCGATCTATTAGGAAGAGGTGAATGATAGAAAATTGATTAGCCCAGATTTTGTATATGAGACCACAGTGAAAATTGTTAAAATAAGAAAAAACATCAAGATGGCACAGAGTAGACAGAAAAGTTATACGGATACTCGAATGAGATATTTGAAATTTAAAAAAAAACGACCAAGTGTTCCTTAAGGTCACCCCCTTCAAGGGTATCACCAAGTTTAGAAAGAGGGGGAAGTTGAACCTCCCGGTTCATCGGACCGTTTGAGATCTTGGACAGGGTTGGGATATCTGCCTATAGATTAGCATTACCTCCAGAACTATCCATAGTCCATAACATATTTCATGTGTTAATCCTACTCAAGTACAATCTGAACCTCTCACATATCTTGTCTTACGAGGCAGTTCCATTCTAGGAAGATTTATCTTATGAGGAGGTACCGGTTGGTATTTTAGATCAGAAGAGAAGAGTGTTTCGCAACAGAAAAATTCCTTTCTTCAAGGTCCTACGGCAAAATCACTCGCAGGACAAGGCCACTTGGGAGTTGGACTAAGACTTCAGGACTAAATATCCTCAATTATTTGACTAGTAGGAGAGCAGCAAATTTGATAACCAAATTTTCTTAAGTGGGGAGAGTTATAACACCCTAATCCCAGAATTTATGCTTAAGATGGTTAAATTTATGTTAATAATAATTTTAGAAATTTTAATTTTAATTTTAACTTTACTTAGAATTTTTGAAGAAATATACATTTTAGGTGTATTTGAAAATAATTTTTAGAAGTCAGAGCCAAACTGAAGATCAGAAATAACCTATTTGAAAAGAAAATTAAAAAATTGGGGCAAAAGAGCAAAAATAAGAAAATTGCCACATAGGACGGCCACTTCAACAGCACAGCCAGTCGTCGTGCACTGCATGGCAGACACGCGGAAAGCCACGCGAGCAATCAACATGTCAGCCGATCCAACAATTCGAATTCGCTCCCACGCATATGAATGACCCTGATATATTTTTTCTTCAAGCATGATCGAATGGTCCACGTGCCTTCGATCGGATAACTCTGATTCGTTTCCCAAATAAAATAGATCAGACAGTAGAGCTTGGGTCATGCAGCCTTGAACGGACGATCCAGATCAAAAGTAGAGAGATATTTAAACATTTCCACTCAGACCCTCAAAACCCTAACCGCTAAGGAGAATCATAGAAGAATAAGAGGGGCGATCAAAAAGTGAACCAGTCGCCGACCAAAAAGATCGGCCGCCATCATTACTGCACCAGAACCTATCGCCAATTCTGGAAGGTGAGGTTTTTCTTTTAGTTTGCTTTGTTTTCCATTTTAAGTCACCCCAAACCCTTGTCGATGCCGAAAGACCAAAGGAGAAGCCAGAAATAAAGGGCAAAGCTCGACCAAACAGCCGTACCTGAAACTAAAAACTCATATGGTGAGCCTGAATCCTCTTCCCAATCCCTTCCATTTTTTAACCATTAGTTTCCTAACATGTTTTCGGTGTAGGGCAACCGACAGAGAACCGCTAACATAAGCAAGGAATGGCGAAGTCGCCACACAGGAAACCCCAAACCGCTGGTAAGTTTTGATTTTTTTTCCCTTTTCTGTCAATAGAGGCCACCTAACCCCGAATTTTATAGGATTCTGCACAGAACTGACTGAAACTAGCTTGACCTAGAGGAGGAACTATTGTAGGCAGCGTAGCCGGCACTAGAGCATGGCGGCGTCGCCGTACCGGAACCCTAAACCAGCTCTTGGGAGAATTTAACCCCATTTGGCCATTTTTTGCGTATTTTCATAATATTTGATGCGTGTTTTTAGTTTTCGCAAAAAAAATCAAGAAATTCAAGAACCAAGAACCACCAAAAAGTGCAGTGGAAAAGATAATATTCTGAACACCGACCCGGAGTAAGAATCTCTCACTCTTTCTCTCATTACGATTAAGTTAAAGTTTAATAAATAATAAACGAAAAATTTTAAATGTTTGCGACACTTTAACTAATTAAATACAGGTCACCGATGGAGCTGGTAGCCGGTCAGTGTATATATGTCTCTAGTTTATCTGTGTTGCCTATTTATTGTTATACTATTTTAATTGTTCACTATTATGTCATGTACCCTAATTTACTGATTTAATTGTGTGTCTATTTATTAGTTTATTTAACCGTTTTCATCCATATCCGTTGATTGGGTTTAAAATAAATGTTTTAATTACGTTTCTTAAATTATTGACTATTAGCTTATATTGTTTATTAAAGAATAATCCTATTGTCCTGTAATTTTGAAATTCGAGTGTTGTATGTATTTGATGGATAAATGGTAGTGGGGACATGCAATGTGTATGGTAACGTTATTAAACTAAGGGGGCTTATTGGGCATCATGGGAAAGAGTGTATGGACCTAGTACATAGGGTAAACCGTACTGTGGACGTTATCTTTAGTCAAAAGGGGCTGAGAAGTCCCATACCAGAAGGGATTGGAAATTATTCTGATTACGTTCATACTGGATGGGATATTGAGACGGTTGTATATTTGGGGCCAATTACCGAACGGGATATGAGGATGACCGGTTAATTAATAGAATGAATACTTGGTCCATGTGTAATGGGAACCCCTATGGATCCCCAACGACAGCGATAAGTAAGTAAAAAGGTAAAGTTTAATTACTTTTGGTCTTTTAAAATGTATGATATGTATTGTTATCCTGGTTCTTTCCTTCATAAATGATATTTGAAAACTTAAAGGTAAGGAATAAATATTTTCAAGTTAAATGAAATTATTTAAATCGAAAAGTAAACTCCATTGGTTATTTACGATTTCTACCAACTTTTGATTTTTCCGTATCGATAGTAAAGTGTTGACATTCATACTGAATTAATATAGCTCACTCCCTTATTATTAACAATTTCAGATTAAAACGATCAAGATCTGTATCCTGAACAGCAAGAAAGTTAGGAAAGAGATTGTCTCTTATTTTTTTCCAGTTACGCAGCTGAGGTTGATTGCATAGATTTTCAGTTTGCACTTTTTTTTTATATTTTTTTTAATTCTCATAATCTTATTGAACATTTAAATTAAATTATGTAAGGAATGTAACTCGAAATTCAAAATTATTTCCACAAACTAATAAATTTCAATATTATTATAAGTATTTACAAATAAACTATCGTCCAAACATACTTTTAGCCTCCAATTGCAAGATGCAAGTCGTTTTTCTTTTCTTTTTTTTTTAAAAAAAAGAAAATAATAATAAGATAAGCTTTATTAAACAGAGTAGTAGTTATGGTAGGACAAAAGAAAACAACCTATACAACCCTACCAAAAGTTACACAAGCTTGTATGATATGAAGAAAAGAAGCAAAATATGCCCAGAAACAAAAGCTGGATAATCACTTGTATTTAGTTTGGGTTCCTCATTTTGTGAAATTGTGAAATCAACTGAACGCAAATTGAAGTTTTACTTTTGTAATTAATATACTATTTATTTTTTTATTTATTATTATTATTATTATCTTATTTGTTTATCTTTATTATTTGTATTTTTATTATTTTTCATACCATTTTATTATTTTTTCCTCTTTATGGTGAAGAAAAAGATAATGAAAAAAGAAACAGAATGAAAGAAAGAAACAAGAGAGAAAAAAAAAACAAAAAAAAAAAGAGGATTGGGTTCATAAAAGCCCACCCAGAATCCAACCAGCAGCCGAGCCGAAACGGAGAAAACCGCGCCGGCCCGCCCAGCCTCGTGCCCAAGCCCAACTCCAAAAGGTGTAAAAACGGCGCCGCTGCGCTTAAGGTTTTTGGCGGGCAGGATTGAAATGACGTCGTTTCGTTAACTCCATAAACGACGTCCTTTGTTTAAAACAAAAACCAGAAGCTCTGGCTTCTAGGGCTTCTGGCTTTTGAAAAGAAGAGGAGGAAGCAGGTTCTGTGGCAGCTGTGGAGAAGAAAGAAGCTGTCGACGCGCGAAGAAGAAAGCTAGAAAGAAAAGAGGGAGAAAGAAGCGTTCGGCCTAAGAGGGAGAAGAGTCGCGAGTGAAAATCAGAATTAAGAAGGGAGAAAAATCTGAGAGATTTGAGGAAAGTAGTGTTCAAAAGAGGAGAAACAGTGAAAAAGAAAATAAGTAGTACGTGAAGAAGAAAGCTAGAAAGAAAAGATTTGAACCCGTTTGTTTCGAATCCTCAGGTACAATGTTAATTCCTTCGAATGATTTATGTATAATGCCGGTAGGGTTTAAGTTAAGTATTAAAATTCTCTTTTCTCTCATGAATACATTACTCGTTTGAAGAAAATATATATTAAGCTGAAGACGTTGGCCAAACCTAATATGAACTCTCCTACTCCTAACAGCGAAGCTCTCTCCATGGCAAAGGGGAATCCCAAAACGTCCAAAAAGAAGACGAAGAGGAGCTTCAAAAAATCTGGCCCCGATGCCGTTGCCATGAAGCACAAAACATCCCAGCCCAACCCCTTCGAGACGATTTGGTCTAATCGCAAATTCGACATCCTCGGAAAGAAGAGAAAGGGCGAGGAGCGCCGCATCGGACTTGCTCGTTCTTGTGCCATTGAAAAGGTAATAATATTTCAGCAAGTTTTGCTTTTAATCTCATCGTCTGTGTGCGTCCATGTATTTTATGCATATTTTGATGTGATAGTTTTCCTTGAGGGCAGAGGAAGAAGACGTTGTTGAAGGAGTATGAGCAGAGCAACAAAGCCTCGGTGTTTGTGGATAAGCGAATTGGAGAGCGAAATGACGAGTTGGGGGAGTTCGATAAAGCTATTATGCGTTCGCAGCGAGAGCGTCAGGTTAGTTGAATTTTTTCCAAATCTGTTTAGTGCGATGGCTTAGTTGTCTTGGTTGGCTATAAAAAAAGTGAAGGAGAAGACTTGGTGGCTTAAAGTTAAACATTTTATGTTTTATTGTTCTGGCTCTTTTATTTATATACCTCAGTTTTGAATCATATTGATTAATATTATGTTTTCTTATCTCTGCTTTTTGGTTATGTAGTTGAAACTAGGGAAAAAGAACAAATACAACTTATCTGATGGAGAAGAGGAGGATTTTGAAGGTGTGGGTCTTGGGGACAGGGATGATTTTGACGCCAGTGTGCTGTCAGATGACGATATTGATGAGGATAGTGAAGCAGCTAAAACTAGTATGTATGCACTTGGATATTGGTTTCTATATCTACATTAGCTTCGTTATGTAGTGCTATGAAAAGAAAAATTAGCTTCATTGGTTTCTATGTAGAGCTATAATCTTAAAATAAAAGCTTCATTATATATACATGCCTCAATTGCTGAAAAACTAGTAAAGACATGTCATCTTAACTGCTGGTACTGGAACATAAACTTTAAGTCTACAACTTAAAAAGTAATTCTGTGGCTAATACTATGAAGGACTATAATATATCACTGCTCTAGTATATGTTGTCTATCAATATATATTGAGAACTATGAATAGCCTACTAAAATCTGCTTTGAAGCAATTTCTTCCAATGATGAATGGTTCCTTCACATTCTTATCCAATGGAAGTTTTAGATTCTCCTGATTAAAACTTGTCATTTATTTCTTTTATCTACAAACTACATTTACTTATGTAGCTTTTATTTTCGTTAGGCTAGGCATTAGGTGCATATTTATTTGTTGGCATATTTTATTGCTGCCTTCAATTTCTTTGGATGACAGCATTCCAGCTCACCAGTTTGATAACCAATTATTGGTTATGTCATGATTCTGACTGGTTGTGTTAGGAGTAGTGAAGTTTGATAGGTTGTGACTATATCAACAGCATCAATGATATCTCGTTATTTTCTTCCAGGCATGTCATCTGTCTTAAGGCAACTTAACGCGCATGGGTCACAGAATTCCTTGGAAACAGGTTTTGAAGGGGAGGAAAATGTGAGACCTAATCTGCTATTGCTTTTGGGTGATTCTGTCACTTATCCGATTATTATTTACTGCTCTTAGTAACTCAATGTTTTTCTTAATAACATGCAAATATAAGGTCTGAGTTATATATTTTGCTTGTAAACATAAATTTTATTTTGGCTTTTTCTTGATATTCGCTGTTTGATTTGTAAATAGTTTGCTTTCTTCTTTCAATTATCAGTTCTTCCTGAAAAATTCTGCTTCAACCTTTTCTTGGAAAGGATATTATTAATCTGTAGCCTGCAATGGTCCTTTGATTGGCGAACCATGTCACTTAGAAAGGGATCATAATTTCATATTTAATTTCCAGAGTGTCTTTTAATTCTAGTCTCAATATTAAAAGTTAATTTTATTTTAATATTTTCCTGCCACATTCCTTTTAGTATTTTGTGGTACTCCAAATTTAATACCAAAGAATTGTATATATAAGGACTTTGCTGGAATCCGAGGGTGAAAATGAGTGAGAAACGGATAGTTCTTAATGATAGGGGGAACAATCAAATATGTCAGTTTCATTTGTTCCTTATCTGTTTACCAGAAAAAGAAACATATATTCATATAAAAAGCACCAAGGGTTGATTCCATGTAGACAGTACAAAATGTTGCATCATGAAGAATATACACACAAACAGGTATAAAGGTCTCCTATCTTTCTGACACTAAAACTAGGATGACCAAAAACAAAACATGCTAAAGGTATGAATCTGATTATGATTATTTAAAAAGGATCAGAGACACCTTTTAGAGCTCTATGGTTTCTTTCACCTAGAAGATAGTCAAAAGGGTAGTGAAAGATTTTCTTTTTTTCCTTCGACCAGATACCACCCAAAGCGCCAAATTCAGCTGCCCCTGCATCCCAAACTGCTCATCTGATTGAGTGATCAGTGCATTTTTTTTAACTTTCCTTTTCCCCCTGGCTGTGCTGGAAAGGTTTCCTAAATTGTACTACTGGAAATTATGTCAGAGCTAGGGAAAATTGTTGAAGAAGTTTTCTGTCTTTTTTATGCTGGGATATTTATACATGTAATGCATCAAACCTTAATTAAAGCTTGTTTTCTTCACTGCAGAAACAGAAAACCAAAAAAGAAGTAATGGAAGAGATTATCATGAAGAGTAAACTTGGAAAGGTGGGAATCCATTTTGTAATATTGAGACTAGAACTTTTCTATATGATTTTTCCTTAGGTTTGATTTATTTATATTCATTTTTTTATCAGATGGAAAAAGCAAAAAAGAAGGAAGAAAATGAACAGTTGATGGATGAATTGGATAAAAGTTTCACGTCTTTAGTGCAGTCTAAAGTGCTATTATCATTGACTGAACCAGGCAAGATGAGTGCGTTAAAAGCTCTTGTGAACAAGGTCACACCTAATGAAGATGTGAAGAAGGATGAGTTACCTGTCACTCAGAGAACGGAAAATTTTAAGCAGGTATAGATTTGTGGTGGTCTTGAGTCCTAAAATATCCTCAGTTATATATCTTCTAAAGTTCTTTTATGATTTTCTATGGAAAGATATCCCTATAGCTGCTTTAGCATGCCTTGTTTTCTTCTGTTTAGAGGATGCTTCTAAGGAGAATTTCTATGTTGTTGCTTCTACTTCTGAAAATGAAGGTTTCCTATGTTTGTTACAGTTGAAAGCTTAGTTATCTGTGTAGTTTATTGTTCTTGTAATACTTTCACTTTTTAATCTTGTTTGAACATCAGAAATATAGCCTGTTGCTTTATCTGGCAGGAACAACCTGATTCTTATGACAAACTTGTCAGAGAGATGGCACTGGATATGCGTGCTCGCCCATCAGACAGGACAAAGACTCCTGAAGAAATTGCCCAGGAGGAGAGAGAAAGATTAGAAAAATTAGAGGTATGTTTATTTCAGTCAAAATTATGTGTTTTCTGATGGTGGATTAGTTAGTACATGTGGAGGCTTACTATGGTTTAGATCTTTCTGACTTCTGCTCTACCAAAATATCTGTCAATTGAGTCCTTTTTCGTTAAAGAATCTGTCAATTAGGCTGTATCTAAGCTTTTAGTATGTCTAATATGAATTTACTCGCATAGATAAACTTAACTTTGACAATGTGGGTCTTCATAATGCACATATTCTTCCAACAAAATCATCTAAAGAAATTGGAATGACTTGTAATTTAAAAAATGAGGATATAAATGTGGAATGGGTCGTATTTTACCATAGAACTTTCTTCTCCCTTTTTTTTTTCTTTTATCGGTTTTTTTTTTTTTTTTTTGTTTTGAGGAGGGGAGGGGGGGGTGTCGGTAGAGGTAACATATTGCACACAAATGCTTAAAATTATTCCACTCCCATCAATTTCAGGAAGAACGTAAGAAGCGGATGCATGCACCTGATGACTTCAGTGATGAGGATGATGAAAATATTGAGAAACAGTCTGCCCAGAAGCCAAGGATAATTTCTGGGGATGATCTTGGTGATTCTTTTACACTTGAAGAAGAGACCGGGACTAAAAAGGGCTGGGTTGATGAAATACTGGAAAGAGATGTGGAAAATTCTGAGAGTGAAGATGATGATGGTTCTTCTGACAATTCAAGAAGTTCTGATGGTGACGGTGAGAATGAAGGATCTGAAGATAGTGCTGATGAACAGGAAAGAACTTTTTCTTTGAAGGATTGGGAACAAAGTGATGATGATGATGATGTAGGTACAAAATTGGAAGATGAAGAAGAAGAAGAGGATCATGATGATGATAATGCTGATGAAGAGGAGAAAGATCTGGAGCCAAGAGTTCATAAGAGGTTAAAGACTAATGATGCTGCTGAAACTGGAAAAGAAGCTGTAAAATCTTTGGGTGAGAGGGACAAGAAAAAAATTAATGAACATCCAACGGACATTCCTTTCCTTATTGATGCTCCAAAGAGCTTGGAAGAACTGTATGCATTGATTGAAAATTGTTCTAATGCCAATGTTATTTTGGTGATCAATCGAATTCGCGTAAGCAATGCAATTAAGCTTGCTGCAGAAAATCGGAAGAAAATGCAGGTATTGGTACTCTCTATTTCTCTCTAGTTTGTCTGGTTGCTAAATTGTTGCTGATAAATTATGGCATAAAGAAAAGGCAATCGACTGAGTCATATTTCCAAATTGGGTTACCTTACTGGACAGGATGCAGCGCATTAAGCTTCCATTCAACTAAGTGTCGTTGGGAAAAATTGAATCCTTAAAAATGCTATTTGAGTAACCTTGAATTTTGAGTATGCAAAGCCTGCTGTAGAAGGTTTTATTTCTTAATCATTGTTTCTTAATGAAAGCAATTTGTCCCCATGGTTCCAGGTATTTTATGGTGTGCTATTGCAGTATTTTGCTGTTTCAGCAAATAAAATGCCCTTGAATTTTGAGTTGTTGAATTTGCTGGTCAAGCCATTAATGGAGATGAGTATGGAGATCCCATATTTTGCTGCAATATGTGCTCGTCAGAGACTTTTGTTGACTCGAACACAATTCTGTGAGGCTATCAAGAACCCAGGTTTGCAGTAACTTTGATCTCAGAATTGCTGGGTCTTTTTAACTATAATTTTTCTACTTACTGTTGCTTCGTTACTAACCAGATGTTTGGATGCAGATAATGGATGTTGGCCATCCTTGAAGACTCTGTTTCTCTTGAGACTGTGGTCCATGATTTTTCCATGCTCTGATTTCCGTCATGTTGTCATGACCCCAGCAATAACTTTGATGTGTGAATATTTAATGCGATGTCCCATCTTATCTGGCAGGGATATTGCTATTGGTTCTTTCCTATGTTCAATGCTTCTCTCAGTACGTCTCTTAATAACCACCATTTTCAGCTTCTATTTTCTTTTTTATTCTGTAATTAATTAATAAGAAGTGCCTAAAGTGCATTTGGAGCATATTTCTTTGACTTGACAATCATTATGTGACAGACTTTCAAGTAATAGTGCTGGAACTTGTCATAACACTCCTATTATTTCTTGGTGGGGTTAGAACCCCCATTAGTGAACTCCTTATAAGTGTATTTATGGGAGCAATTCTTTTTGTTTAGAGAATATTGTGAACTGACCTATATTTCAATCTGAGAGAATTTACTATAAAACAAAAATAATTGAGTTCCTATATTTGTTACATTTTATTCTTGACTTCGCATTTGCCCATTGCTAATGTAAGTTGTATATGGTTTAGATTACTAAACAATCTAAGAAGTTCTGTCCAGAGGCTATATTGTTTCTCCGAACTCTGTTGATGGCAGCTACAAACAGAAAAGCAGCATCAAATCAGGAATCTGAGGTTTGTTACTCCTTGAAGACTTAAACAAGTCTATAAAAAAGAAAGAGAAAAACAAATAGGTGACAGAGACAGATAGATATCTCTTACAGATGAAATAAGTAAAAGGACCTGGCTATATTCTTTAAGTGCTGTTGACCCACCAGTTCTGGTAGTAAGGGAGTATTAAACATATTACACCAGAAACAAGTTAAAAGACAATAATAAAATATGAAAACAAGAGTTAAAATTACTATGTCCATTGCTTATTTTTCCTTGCCTATTTCAAATACATTGCTATTCATAATGTTATTATATGGCAGTTTTATCATCTTATGGAGTTAAGAGCCCTAAGGCCCTTGCTGTGCATACATGGCCATGTAGATGACATTAGTCCTTTGAATTTCTTGGTGGTGATGGATATGTCGGAGGACTCCCCTTTTTTCAGCTCTGATAATTTCAGGTTAGAGCCTGTCCCTTTTCCATGATAACATTGATTGATGAGGTTTCGAGTCTTGCACTCTTATTCTGTACCAAATGGACGAGGACTTGCTATTTCCTGTGGCTCTCTCTGAAGGTTTTTGTAGTATCTAACACTTTTTTTTGAAGTAGTATCTGTAGTATCTAACATGTAAGGTCTATAATGAGATTTTGTCAACAAGTCAAATAGATCATAGCTAATGGAGCTTCTTCGTGTTGTATTTGCTCCTACAAATACTAGAGTGTTTGTTGCTACAAATCTAGTATGTATCCTATTTCAAGATTACCTTACTCTTGTAACTACTGAATTTTGTGCTCAGGGCTAGCATGCTACTAACCGTAATTGAAACTCTGCGAGGGTTTGCTGAAACATATGAAGGATTGAGTTCCTTTCCTGAAATCTTCTTGCCAATTTCAACTTTGTTACTTGAAGTGACACAACAGGAGAACATGCCACAAACACTCCAAGTTAAACTTAAGGACGTTGCTCAACTTATCGAGAAAAAAGCTGGCGAACATCACATGTTACGGCAACCACTTCAGATGCGGAAGCAAAAGCCAGTGCCTATCAAATTAGTTAATCCTAAATTTGAAGAGAAGTAACTCTTTCTCATCTAATTTCATCATAGTGGTGTTGAGCTACTGGTTTATAGACTTGATGGGTTGCTTAGCAATTATTTTATTTTGCAGCTTTGTTAAGGGTAGAGATTATGATCCAGATCGTGAACGAGCAGAGGCAAGAAAGTTGAAGAAACTGATTAAAAAGGAGGCTAAAGGTGCAGCTCGTGAGTTGCGCAAGGACAATTATTTCCTATATGAGGTAAAAGAAAGAGAAAAAAGCAAACATGAGGAAGAAAGAGCAGAAAAATATGGAAAAGCTCTTGCTTTCCTCCAAGAACAGGAACATGGTTTCAAATCTGGGCAATTGGGAAAAGGCAGGAAAAGGAGGAAATGAAATTGAAGTATCGTGTCTGGTTAGGTTTGCTTCTAGTGTGGTATTCCTTGAATGGTGGAAGGTAAATAGGCAGATATATAATTAAGTTTAGATGCCTTTATTTTTTCTTTTTCTGTGCATGATAAATCCTCTCTATGACATGCATAATTATAATCTTTTGGATGTGAAAACAGTGGAGTTGCTAGGATGGCTAATACTTTGCTTCCTTTCCATTTCTCTCAGTGGCAAGGCAAATAGTAGAAATTACCAACCACCAGCCATCCGTGTAGAATTTTTTCGGGGCAAATTTTGTTCGAGCTTTTATTCCCTAAAGATCCCTTGTCTCTGTTATTCTAATCTTACACGCCAAAATTTGAGTTCATCTATATGTATATATATATTTTTGTTATATTTGTGTTCGGATTGAGCACGTTTTATTCTTATTTAATATTTTGATCTGAGTTATTTGTAGAAATTAATTATAATTTACATATTTAATATGTAATTGATTTGACTCCACTAAAATGTTATCTTTCTAAGAGAAGTGAATGTTTTTATTTTGCTTGTTTTATGAAATGACGGAAGTACTACTAATATTGAGTTTAGGATGTTCTATGGTACAATTTGCTACCAGTACCGCAGTTGATACAAGCGCGCACGCATGTGTATATATATATATATATATATATGTGTGTGCGCGCGTGCGTGTGTATATGTACACAAAAATGTATATATACGTGTTCACATTATTTGGATCCTCGTGCCGCAATTGGTTAGTGTTAATTACAGCCAATTCCGGCGCTTTATATGATTCAGGTTTTGAAAGGTCTCAATTAAGGGATTTTCAACATTTTACATCCAATTTGTGATAACAATAAAAAATTATAATTTTTTTATAAAAATAATGGAATTGTATACATTAACGTATTGTCTAAATAAATAAATAAGTAGTAATTTAGTTTTTTGGTAAGATAACTAGAAATTGTTGTTTAAAAGAAAAAGACTCACTATTAGACACTAAAAATTTAAAGCGTTCAAAAATGGCTTTTAGACCGCTGCACTACGAAAATTTTTCCAAATTAAATCTATATATTCAAAATAACTTTTGGACTGCTTTATTCTCAGAGATCTCCAAATCAGATGACAACAAATATTAAAAATCTACGTATTCAAAACCATCATTGTCCGGCTTTCCAAACTTCAAATTTTCAAAACCAATATCGAAAATGACTACAAAGAACTACAAAAAGCCACTATCGAGGGTCGGCAACGAGACCCAATAAACAATAAAGCAAAACTAGGCTGAGAAAACCAGCCCAACATAAGTTCGTGCGTTTATTATTTTATTTAAAGAAAAAATTTGTGCGCTTCCAACATTCAAGACTAGGTAGAGCTCCAAACATCATCATTCTCTTTGGGAATATAAACAACTGCTCTCTACAAAGTATCTACCAACCACGAGTTGATACTCCCTAATGGAACTTACGCCACTTGGAAAGCTATGAAACCATTACATCACAAAAACCAAAAGAATTGCTAGGGCACACAACTGACTAAAAAAGTGCTCAAAATAAAACCGCTATTCTGTATACTAGCAAAAATTTGGCCGTTTCGTTGGCACCTCAGTAGCATGAAGTTGATAAAAATTTCTCCTTCATGCGAGAAACAAGCTTAAATTTTTCCTCAGCCTCAACCTGCTGTCGAATGTCTGTCCTTGATGCTCGGTCAGGATGAAATTTTAGCAAAGCTCGTTTGTAAGCAGCATGCACCTGAAACAACCATTAGCACAATTGAAAACTACACCATTAAAAAGTACGTAAAAATATGAAGAGTATGGGAGAACAAGTTAACCATCTGTTGACTATTTTCCCATTTCCTCGTGGCAAGAAAGTTCACCTCTCTCAGGTAGAATGATACATGTATATATGTGTGTGTGTGTGTGTGTGTGTGTGTGTGCTCATAAACAATTAACCAACTCACTGACATGATTTTGCAAGTAACTGACCTCATTTGACAAGGGATGAAAACCACCTCCCACATGGATGCCTAAGCCTCGTAGTAATGAAGCCATATCAATGCAAGTCATTTCCAACTTGTTAAGCTCCTTCAAGACTTCAACACGAAATTGCTCTTTTAACGACATTTTCTCCTCATCCTGAATTTTCCCCCATTTCCAGATGGGAATGGAAAAAATTAATAACTAAATTATTTTTTATAAACCTAAACAATATCCAGCTAAATATTACGACTAGACATATTAGCAAGTTTTAGTTAATTTTTGCTAATTTAATAAG